TTCTCAAAAGAAGAAATTCAAATGGCCAGAAAACACATCTCACCATCTCTAGCAATAAAGGAAATGCAAATTAAAACCACACTAAGATTCCACCTCACCCCTGTTAGAATAGCCATCATCAGCAACACCACCAACAACAGGTGTTGGCGAGGATGCGGGGAAAAAGGAACCCTCTTACACTGTTGGTGGGAATGTAGACTAGTACAACCACTCTGGAAAAAAATTTGGAGGCTACTTAAAAAGCTGGACATCGATCTACCATTTGATCCAGCAATACCACTCTTGGGGATATACCCAAAAGACTGTTACTCCAGAGGCACCTGCACATCCATGTTTATTGCGGCACTATTCACAATAGCCAAGTTATGGAAACAGCCAAGATGCCCCACCACTGACGAATGGATTAAGAAAATGTGGTATCTATACACAATGGAATTTTATGCAGCCATGAAGAAGAACGAAACGTTATCATTCGCTGGTAAATGGATGGAATTGGAGAACATCATTCTGAGTGAGGTTAGCCTGGCCCAAAAGACCAAAAATCATATGTTCTCCCTCATATGTGGACATTAGATCAAGGGCAAACACAACAAGGGGATTGGACTATGAGCACATGATAAAAGCGAGAGCACACAAGGGAGGGGTGAGGATAGGTAAGACACCTAAAAAACTAGCTAGCATTTGTTGCCCTTAACGCAGAGAAACTAAAGCAGATACCTTAAAGCAACTGAGGCCAATAGGAAAAGGGGAACAGGTACTAGAGAAAAGGTAGATCAAAAAGAATTAACCTAGAAGGTAACACCCACGCACAGGAAATCAATGTGAGTCAATGCCCTGTATAGCTATCCTTATCTCAACCAGCAAAACCCCTTGTTCCTTCCTATTATTGCTTATACTCTCTACAACAAAATTAGAGATAAGGGCAAAATAGTTTCTGCTGGGTATTGAGGGGGGGGAGCGGGAGGGGGTGGAGTGGGTGGTAAGGGAGGGGATGGGGGCAGGAGGGAGAAATGAACCAAGCCTTGTATGCACATATGAATAATAAAAGAAAAATGAAAAAAAAATACTTAGATGAAATAAAATTTAGTTAGGAAAATTTAATGGTATGTGAATTTATCACTTGATCTTTCCTGGATATGTGCTTATTTATTGTGTTGTTTGCCAAACATTGGAATGATAAAAATCATTTACTTTTGTCTACTATTAAACTGGATTTATTTTTGATTATATCTTGTTTCTGTTCCTTAGCCCTGATGTTGAACATTTTAAGGTATGGTGTTTTTATTGTTCTTCTTTTTGTTGTCTTTCCTTTTTCCCAATGCAATTTGATCATTGTCGATGGAATACAGGAGAATAGAATCCATCTTTCTTTGTTTTATCCTTAGTCAAGGTGGGGACATTGTTAACACACTGCTCAGAAACATAGTTGATTGCACCCCTTGTTCATTGACTAACCTGGAGCACTGTATTAAGCATGGAGAACCCTGAGGCTGTTCCAGGCAAACATCTACTCCTCCCCACATGTCCACTCCACTGCACTCACCCAACTGCCCACCAGTAGCTGAAGTCTGTGACAAGATCCCAAGAACACCATTCTTCCCTGTTTTGCTCTGTCCTAACAAGCTCTGTCACACATATTTGACCATGGACATGGGTATTTGGATATCAAGCCAGGCTCCCAAGCTATTTAGTGCTATTTTAGTTATTTTTCATGTAGGGTCTCCCATTTTGACCATGGCTGCTTCATACTATAATCCTCTCACAGATAACTCCCATTTAGGTGGAATTATTTGCAAATACCACTATACAGAGTTATTTTCCAAAATGACTTTGCCTTAACTTTTTGCCCAGGTTGGTTTGAAACCACGAGACTACCAATTTTTTTCTTCTGAGTTGATGAGTTGACAGGCATGAGCCACCACAAACCAGCACACACTATGATATTTCTGAATTACAATTTTCTCCTTGGTGTCACGATCACCAAAGTTTACAAAAATGAACTCCCCCTTTTTTGGATTGCATTTGGAACTGTAATTTCAGGCACTTCATTTTTGCCATCCATTACAAAAATCATCTTATCATTGGTAATTTTCAGTATCTTCTTTAATGCTTCCAACAAAGATGTATTTCACATATTTGGTGGAATTGGGTTTTGAACTCAGGGCTTTGCATTGTACAGCAGGTGTTCTACTGCTTAAGCCACACCGCCTCCTCACATTTAAGAGATGACTTGGATTTCATGAGTCCTCACTTTTTGGCAGCTCTCTGTGGTTCCACGCCTCTTCCTAAAGCAATTGAAATTATTCATTCTGAATAAGAGCAAGAAAATTAAATATTATGTACAGGATAGATCACATGTCCATCAGGATTGCAAAAGTTCCAATTAGATTTTGGAAAGAAGGAAAAGGTGTTTAGAAATAAAGATCCCAGAAAGAAAGAGTGCTGAAAAGAATGAAATGATGATACACTAAATCCTTTCTCTCCATTGGGAACACTGAGTTTAAAGTTAGAGATTCAATTTTGCTAGTCACATGATCTAACACTTGAGCCATGCCTCCAGTCTGCAAAATCAGTTATTCACATTTGTTATTATATATAAATGTAAGTACTAGTTGCTTACAGTTGCTGAGAAGAAGTGATGAATGAGAGCAACTGAGTAAGAGTATGGAAGGGAAGACCTTGGAGCATTCCATGACACCTGCATTGACCCTGAACCTCTGTAATGTTATTTGAATATGTACTGCAGGCCATTGATGTGCCTGCTGAGGGAGTGCTAGACCAAAGTCCAAACGTCAGAATCACAAAAATGTGAATGAAAGACTCAGTTGTGCTGCTACACAATGAAAATCCCAGCCACTGGGAAGATGTTGCACAAAGATTATCCATTGGATGACAGTCAGGGTTATGTAGTGAGATTCCGTGTCAAAATAAAAAGACACAGGGATATAGCTCACTACTAGAAAGCTTGCCTAGCAATTAAAAAGTCTTGGGCTAAACCTATAGTAACACACACACACACACACACACACACACACAAAACAAACTGCATTAACATCAACTGCAAATATACTTTGCAAAGTGAAAGACCATAACAAATGAAAAATAGTAAAAAATATACTTGATATCATAAGAGTGGTAACAAAATTCAATACAGGGAAAGCACAATTAAATGAGACGTTAAGCCAGGGACTGGTGTTTCCAGGTGTGATATTAGTTATTCTGCAGACAGTGGTAGAAGGCCATGTTGCCTACAGCATTTCCCCCACATTTGCCCTGGGTCTGCTCCTGGGAGTATTGTCAGGCTACACAGCTCCAGCAGCTGTGTGAAATCTTCTGACTGCAGGACCACAGGGAGGTCACCTGGACACGTCAGAAGCGGGAAATGGTGAGAGGGCAGCTGGGCATCTGCAGAGTTGGTTGGAGGGACTGTTGGGTCCTGAAGCAGCAGTGGTTTTGACTGGGCCCTGTTCCTTCCAGAGTCTGTGCCCTGATCACACTGTTGGGGCCCTAGGTCTGCTGCCATCTGGTTGTTGGTGGTGGACTGGGGTCCTTGAACTCATTCCTATGTCCCTGTGAGGGCACTTTATCCCAGCCCACAGCCCTGCTGGGAGTTTCTGTCTGCAAATCCCTATCTGGCTAACTGAGGTGGCTGCAGATACCACTGAGTACTTATGGAGTTTGTGCCAGGACAGGGAGCTCCTGTGCAGTGTCCCCCTAATGCCTTATTCTGACCTGGCTTCCCTTTAAGTCCTTCAGGTTCACAGGCAGCATGGGCTAAACTCTATGCCGTGTCCCCTCAATCCAGTGCTTCTCAGCCCTGCCACAAGTCCCTAAATTTCCATGAATCCCACACACTGCCAGATTCATTGGAAATGAGAATCTACACGTGCACGTGGTTGGCTTCTTGTGGAGGGGACACTTTTTGCCATTCCTGACTTAACTGTTAATTGTCCACAGATTGTTTCTAGGATATTGTTTTATAATGAAATGTTCATTAACTTAAACCCTGACTTTAAGAGTATTACTGTAGAGGGAAAGCTCCAAAAGTAACATATGAAGGCATCTCAAGGCAGAAAGGTGATTTCCTCTCAAATAGAGAAGAAAACAAAGAAAGAATTTGGATGTAGACAGACATGGAGATTGGAAAAATTAGTTTTCTCCTGTGATCTTCTTCGTCTTGTTACCTTGTTTTATTTTGGTGACTGAAGTTTCAACTCATAGCTTAGCATTTACAGAGCAGGGGCTCCACTTCTTGAACCACATCTGCAGTCTATTTTATCTGGTTCTTTTGGAGGTGTGGTCCATACATGAAATAAGTAAATTACTTTTTTGGCAATGTGTTTTTATTTTCTTGGGTGCAAATGAATAGAATGAAACATAAGGTATGAGAAATCCCTGGCCATCTGCTTCATTCCAGTTTCCAGAGTTTGACCATCAGCTCTACATCGACTTCCTCTGTCCTAGCCTACCCGAGTCTCCCCTCCTTAGCAGACATGATGATTTTTCTATCTGGAACACTGAGTGTAGAATTCTCTGAGTAAAGCAGTTGTCCCATTTTCAGGAGGAGTAAGCAAGAAGGTCACAGTGAGTATGAAAAGAGGAAGGTGCTGGGTACAGAGGGCAAGGACAAGTTTTGCTGAATGTAATTGTCTGACAGTAAAATATACCTCCAACAAAGGAAGCCTGACTGGCAAGGGCTGCTGGAGTCTCTTTTTCACCTCACCAGTTTAGCATCCCCTCCCCACTCCACTTCCCATCACTCAAGGGCTTGGGGGTGGGACTGTGTCCAGTAGCCAATCAGAGCGGCTGTTCAATCGCCTGCACCTCCCGTCCAATGAGGAGCGACGGTGTTAGGCGATTCACGTTGCCTTCCTCATCATCGCCATATTTGCCATGCGCCTGCTGGAGGGACATTGCTCAGGCTTTAGAGCTCAGCAGCCGTGTGAAATCTTCTGACCACAGGACCACAGGGAGGCCACCTGGACGCGTCAGAGCGGGAAATGGTGAGAGGGCGGCTGGGCATCTGCAGTCCGGGTGGAGGGAATTTTGGATCCAGAAGCTGCCGTGGTTTGGGGCCCTGTCCCTTCCGGAGTCTGCGCCCTGGTCTCGTGGTCGGGGCCTTAGGTCCGCTGCAGCCTGGAGGCTCTAAAGCCTTGAACTCCGTCCTTCGTCCCTGTGAGGGGACTTCATGCCATCACACAGCTCTGCTGGGAGTTTCTGCCTGCAAATCCCTAGCCAGGACTGAGGTGGCTGGGGATTCTCATGAGTTTTTATGGAGTTTGTGCCGGGACAGGGCGCTCCTTTGCAGGGTCCCCATTACTCCTTACTGGGACCTGGCTTCCCCTTGTGTCCTTCAGGTTCAAGGGCAGCATGGGCTAAACTCTGCCGTGTCCCCTCATCCAGTGCTTCTCAGCACTGCCACAAGTCCCTAGATTTCCATGAATCCCGCACATTGCCTGCATCACTGGAAATGCAGCTCCTCATGTGCGTGTGCTTGGTTCCTGTTTGGAGGGAACACTTTTTGCTCTTCCTAGCTTACGTGTTAATTGTCCATAGGTTGTTTCTAAAATATTGTTTTATCATGAAATGGTGATGAACTTAGACCAAGACTGTAAGGGAATTACTCTGGGGGGAAAGCCGCCAAAAGTAAGATCTGGAGGCATCTCAAGGAAGGCGAGTTGGTCTCAAAGAGAGGAGAAAACAGGAGAAGAAAGAATTTTGGAGCAAACAGACACGGAGTTTGGAAAGTCAGTTTTCTCCTGTGATTATCTTTGTCTCGTTTGTTTCCTTGTTTTCATGTTTTATTTTTGGGCATTGAGGTTTGAACTCAGAAGTTTGCATTTACAGAGCAGGTGCTCAGTTGCTTGAGCCATATCTCCAATCTGTTTTGCTCTGGTTATTTTGGAGTTGGGGTCTTGTAAACTATTTTTCTGAGCTGACCTTGACTGTTATACCTAAGTTTACAGGAAGGAGCTACCAGTGGTATAATAACCGTGGTCATTTTTTGTTTTTATGGCTGCTCTGGGATTTGAATTCAGGATCTCACGTTTGCTCTGACACCCTGAGTAACGCTGCAGTTCTTCTATGTGATGGGCTTTTTCAAGATAGGGTCTCAAGAAGTATTTGGTAGCCCAGATTTGAATTTCGATCTTCCTGAGCATCTCTACCTCCTGAGCAGCTAGGATTAGAACCGTAGGGATCCTGGTTCTTCGTGATCTTATACTGATAATAGAGTGTGGTTTGTGTGCTGACTCAGGCTGAGGTTTATCAAAATTTACATTACAACTCTTTACACATCACTTAAAAGACGTTTGCCCCAGTTCCTTCACATAATCATTTTTGAAGCAGAAAAAGGGCATTTGGAAAGTGTGTTGGGGAATGTCTGAGTTTACAAAGGGGATAATGGGAAGAGTGTAGCTCATTTTCTAGCACAATCATTTTGATTGGAAGTGAGGGTTAATCACAGCTATTTCTGAGGGTTACAACATTTAGAATAAATGTTCCACCACTTTCCTTTTGCCTTCAAGTACTTGGTTAGAGAGAGTGTAATTTGTGCCAAAGAAGACAAGTCTGGGAGGCCCAGGCTAAGAGAAAGACACCTTTATATTTTTTCTGATGGGGCAAAAAGTTTGTGTATTTGGGAGGTGATATGGTTTTGTAGTATAAATTAAAATTTTTCTTCATTGTACCTGTTTCTAGCACAGAGATTCAGAAATCCTTGGAATTTCTGTGTCAATAGAAGTGTATTTGGCAGCTTTTGAATTTTTTCTAATGACTTGTTTCAGGGTGGTACATTTCTATAACCTTTGGAAGGGGAAGAAGGCATAGCAAATGTGCTATGACTTCTTGTCTGTTTCACACTGATGCCCAGAAGTTGCAGGGACTGTGCTAAGTCTGGATGGTGTCAGAGTTGAGTGGTAGGACACTCAGTTGGTATTTGAAAGGTGGTTGATGTTGACACCGCCACATATTTGCTATCAGAAGTGATGGCAAAGAAATACAGTTCAGGTCATAACATTTGGGCTCTTTGGGGAATGTCTGGTAATGTTACCCGAGTGTCCATTCTTGGTCCTTATGTCTTGTGTGAGATGAATTCAGGCAAGGCACTGGAGTTGAGCAAAAGTAAAGCATGGTTCATGAAGGAAAGTACACAGTGAACAGATTTCATAGGTAGCAGTTAGGCATAAACCATTCAGATATCCTAAGCAAACCTAAAATGGTAGAAGATCAGAAGGTTTGTGAAAATAAGCATTGTAATTAAAACATGTCAACAAACATTGACAAAGATCAAATAGCTCACTAAGGTCACAGGCTATCACAAGATCATTCTGACTGTTCCATTCACCTCAAGATAGGTGTATGACAACAGTTTCTGGTGCAATTGATCATTAACAAAGGCTCAGACCCATAAACCATATTCCTAGTTGTGAGGATACCCAAAAGATTTTGCTCATTTTAAGTATGGAAATTTGCCCTAGTGTTTTTCACTGTCAAAAGAATATTCTTTTAGGGAAGAGGTTGGGGGATTGGTGCTGTGTAGATCATGGATAATTTAAATTTACTAGGAAGTTTTAATAGTATATGCAGTCACCTGAACTTGTTGGATGTTTCCTTATTCTGTGGTTTGCGAAATACACAGAATGTTCTAATTTATTACATGTTTCCATTTAGAGTTAACTTCTTTTTATGCTGTTGCTTGCACTGTACTGATGACCTGTAATGTTGAGCATTTTTCCTACTTGTTCTTTTATATTACTCTTTCCCCATCTCGTCCCTCCCTCCCTCCCCGTCTTTCTTTTGCCTTTTCTTTATTCCATTTAAATGGTGTCTCCTTTTAATTGGAAGTTTGGATGGTTATAGTAAATTCTTCAAAATGATGTGTTGTGCGTTAACTCGTATAGTACACTCTTACTGAAATCTTTATTTGCTTACTTATTATTCAGGGTCTTGTGATTGCTCAGGCAAACACTATGCCATTTGAGCCAGTTTGACAGGTGTGGGCCTTTATTAATTCGTTATGTTATCACATTTTCTATCCTCCTTTATGATGCCAAACATTTTTAAAATTCTTAGTAATTTCCTATCCATGTAAAATTATTTTCCAAGTAGCTAAATGCATTTCAAATAAAGATGTGCTGCTTCCTGGGGAGGACAGGTATATTGGCATGTTCCCACTATTGTTCCTCAACCTGCATATAACTGTACTTACAAATTGTTCATATTATAAGGCATGATCGCCTAGTCCATAGTTTACTTTCAATGACTTTAAGCAATCTTTTTCCCTGAATACCAGTATTGAGGAAGAAAGTAGAGTTTTTGTTCATCCATTTTATTTCCTAACAGTGTTTTCTTGATGTGTTCTAAGTTCTTAGTTTATGGTCTTGTTTCTGTTTAGAGAACTCCTTACAACAGTTTCCATAACTCAGATACTGGTGATACATTCTGTGAACTTTAAAATATTTTTCTCTTCTGGCTGTATGATTTCAATTATTTTCATGTTGATTCTTTGTTCTTCTAGTCTGCCATTGAGCTTCTACAGTGACCATTTGATTGAACTTGTTGTATATGCACCTTCAGAATGTCTATATATTAATTTTGATCATTTCTAAGTATGTATTTTCTTTGTACATGTGTTTCCTCATTGATGTTTCTTCAACATGCTTGCCTACAATCCTTTGAGTCTCCTTTTGACAGAGAGATTTTGTCAAATGAGTGCATGCCTGAGATTTTCCAGAAATGCATATTCTCATTCTGAAAGTAGAATTTTGGACCCAAGGCCCACATTCCTTAGTTTCCACATTCCAGGTCCAGCCAATCACCGTTAAGTGTCAAATAAAGAAGCCTGGTGAAGGCCGGGAAAGGAGAATTAATACACGGTTGGGTATATGGTGTGGGAAGAGGCAGAGTAAGTACTCAGCTCATCTTCTGCCATCCACAGACTACAGATATGAGACACAGATTTAAACAGACAAAGAACTGGGGGCAGGGAGGAAAGCCATGCAACCTTAAGTGGTTCCTGTCACAGGTGGTCTATTTGGTATTAACTCAGAAGTAGATTTGGGAGGGATTCTGGCATTGTCACCTGGAGGATGGTCCATCCAATGAAGGGTCTTCTGTTGGGGGTACATTTGGTTCCATTTTATGAAAGTGTTATCTGTCTTGTCCTTCCTAGATTCCAAGGGAAATGCAAGATGACTGCAGAGTGAATAGCTCAGAGCAAAGACAGATTCAAAATGACAAGATATGATGTTTTTCCTGTATTTAATTAATTTGCGTGCTGGGTAAGGAGTCCATGGTTTTCAGGAAAAGCAGTTTGAGGAGCTCTTCCAATTCTTTTCCGTTGACAATCCATAGTTCTCCATCTCTTCATATGTGTTGTTATTTGTTCCTTGTGTGTAGAGAGTGGACGTGATACTATCTTCTTCATATGAAGTTTGTCCAGTTTCCTGTTTCTTCAGTATGTTTGCTTACAACGCTTTGATTCTTCTTTAGGCTCTTTGAGAAATCTGTTGTGAAATGTGTCCACTGCCTGAGACCTCAGAAATCCACATTCTCATTCTTTTCCATTGACAAGCCACATTTTTTTAATCTTTCAGATATATTGTGATTTATTTCATTGTACAGAGAGGAGATTTTAATACTAGAAAGACAGATATCACCACATGTGATTATTTTTATCTAGTATGGAGCTAGTGATATTGAAGTATGTTGTCACTTTCTCTTGAACTTTTAACTGTAGCTAATTCCAGGGATGACTTTGGGAAGTATATTCTTCCCCAAGACAGGACTTTTACAAGACTTTATAATTTGCGAATGCATATATGAGTGTGAAATCCCCAGTATCAAAACAGGCAGGGATTCTTCTCTGAATGTCACTGAGAAGTGCTGGTAGGGTTTTGGTAGATGAAATTAACTGATTCTGCTAAAGACAGTTCCCTGTTTGTTTTGCCTTTCAAAGTTGATCACTCCCTGCCTTCAGCTTTTCTTCAGGGACACTTTGATTTCTGTGACCTTTCTTCTGGATTTCTGGTGAAGGAAGTTAATGCTTCTCTGGACTGCCTTTATTCTCTTCAGTTTAAACAATGCATTGATTTTCATCTTAATTGTCTGATTGTGAAAAAGTTGTTAACTTTCAGTTTCTTGCCTTTTGTCCTTGATGTATGGGGTGTCTTCAGATTCCTTCATTCAGGAATCTGAAGTACATGTATGTGCTTCTATTTTGTCATGATGATGAGCATATATAACATTTAGTACTCCTTTTCTGTTTGCACAATGTGGAGAGAAGCCTACCAAAGGCTCCAAAGAGACTCTGATAACCCACCTCTTCTCCATTGCTTCCCTGCTAAGCTCCCTAGGCAGGGTGTTTTCCATGCTGCCTTAAGATACTTGCTCCCTGCATGAGTAGTCTGTTCCCTAACCCTATAGTTGTGTGAGTAATATGCCTTTGAATGTCCTTTTGCTTCTTATGCCCTATCAGTTTAAAC